GGACGGTTGCATGTGAGAACAGGTTCACTGAGTGAAATGGCAGACCGAAAAATGTGTACCAGCTGCAAGGAATAATGACTGGGAGGGAAAAAATGTTGTAGACAAGAAAAAGAAAAAAAAATATACAAAAGCTGTGAGAGACAAAAATTTTTAAATTGTCTATGCAGTGAGTCAAATCCTTATGATTGGTAGACGTTATTGCAAGAGGCTCTGGACTGAAACAGCTGAAACTTAGTGGAAGAACGTGTTAAGCGCAATCTCAGTGTCTGCTTCAGCACTGAAACGTATACAGTGCTATGTGTTTCAGTGCTATGGGATAATTACATGAAATTAGATTGCATTTTAATTTTATTTTCCAATATTGAAGTGGGTATAGCTAGTCCATTCACACCTGTGAAAGGCACTGTTACTATAGTTTTGGACATTCTTGGATCCTTTTTCTCCTGTTGCTTGTAGAAATGAAGTGAAATATGACTAGAGATTTTATTCAGATACAAGCTGTCTTTTACTGCTATTGTTTTGAAAATCTGCCTGTATTTTATACTGAGAATTACATTCAATAGGAGTGAAAATGAGTTTCAGATTTCTGTTGCACACTTTGTAACAAAAATTGTCGTTTTTTCTAATATGACTCCATATTTGTTGTTATGCTAAAGAAGCTAACTTCCACAGACTTAAGTAAAATCAAATGAGTCAGTCAGTTCTGTGGTATTTTAGAGAGGTTTAGAAGTAGATGCAATAGCTATGTTTAAAAAAAGCAAAAAAACCCCACTTCCGCACTAAGGTAAGAGTGCATGATTCTAAATATCACAGAATTGCTTCTGATCTTTTTGTGAGAAGATCTGTAATTGTATGCTTTCTGTATGTGAAATGTGAGCCATGAGTTATTCCTAGTTGTAAAACGTCCCTTTTTTGAGTGTGCAGCTTGTGGATGCAAACGTAATGATCAGACCCTTCAGCATGGATTGCGGAAGTTTCCAAAGAACTTAAAAATTGCTGTAACACTGAATGTTTACCTCCATCGCCTCCTACCCATATAAAACCTTTTGTCACAATCTGAGAAATACCTTGCACACAGTGGGCAACCAGTAGGCTTTCTGCAGGAGGTTTCTGCTGAGAAGTGACAGAGGGCAGCTTGGCAAATGTTCAGAAACCGACATTAACTTGCTGGAGCCTGGCATGGGACCTTGTGTTCAGCAGAATTCTTCTGACCTGTCTCTCTGCATGCCGAGCTAATCAGCAAACACCTAATGAGCCTACTCTAAAGAAACAGGCCCTCTCACAACCTACTTCATTTTCATATGTTCTCTGGGGGTGGAGAGACAAGACTTCATAAGGACTGATGATGCTGCAAAGACCACAATAATGATAATTAACTTGCTGAATTTAGAAGATTATGCTGTTAATTAGTTGCAAAATAAAGATAAGTAATAGAGCAGCAGATGGTAGGATAACACCCAGGAGAAAGAGGGTTATTACTCTGATGAGCTTTTGTGGCAGATATGAAATATGGATCTGAGTTTTTCACAAATTGTTTCTGGAGAATATTATTGTGTTACTGTGAGCTCTTGATGGAATGATCTAGTCCTACCAAATTTTGACAGATGCGGTGAAGATTTGTTTTCAAGGATATACATGAACAATAAAACCTTGCTAATAAAGACTTTAAAAGCTATTAAGCTATTTGAAAATACCAATTTTAGGTTGCACCTAATAAGCAAATAATATAAACCAAACCTGGGTTGTCATCAGGTTTCCCCACATAATAATGCTTATATATATTTATTATAGTATTTGTTTCAATATACTTGATTTTTAAAGCCAAGATTCTCATTGTATTTGGGTTAACTATCTCCATATCTTCCATAGTATATTACATTTAACAATGTAATTTTCAAAAGGAGTTTATTTACTTATAAATTTACAAAATTATAATGTTTAAATGTTAGCATCACCATAGGGAAAGTTAAGTCCTACTTTGACTGTTTGCACATCCATTGTGCCTGATGATAGATCTTTTATAATGTAGACAGTATTGTGCTATTTCCTTCATTTTCTACTGCCATTTTCAAATTAAATGTAAAATATATAAATTTAATAACATTAACTTCCTTTCTTTTTAGGTTAACTTTGCAAATATTTCTTTAACACAGAAATCCAGAAATAGAAAGAATAGAGGTAGACAATAAGTTACTTACCTTATGTGCACAATAAAAAAAAAGCAACCCCTAATTAGTTTTGTTTCATCTCCCAAATCTTCTGAACTCGGGCTCTATTTCACTAAGGAAATGGATATGCTAGTGAAACTTTTTCTTTAAGTAACCAACTTGAAGCAAACACTACAAAGCATTTCTGTGACTCCATAGACTCTGTTGTTTTGGGGTATTTTTGTGGAGGATGCTTCCATCAAGATTTACTCATGCAATCATGAGCAGAGTAGATCAGACACTCTGGCCAAACACATACTAACTGTATAAATGTTTATGCTCAATCGCCATGAAAATTAGAAGTTAGCTTGTTACCACTGAACTTATATATTCAGACACTTGAGTTGGATGAAATCTAATCATTTTTACTTCTCATAACAGTGGAAGAGGAGTATATATATGGCAAGTTACTGTGTCTTGGTTGAGTAATGTGGTGGCTTGACCCTGGCTGGACACCAGATGCCCACCAAAACCTCTCTATCACTCCCCTCTGCAGCTGGACAGGGGAGAGAAAATACAATGAAAGGCTCCTGGGTCGAGATAAGGATGGGGAAATATCACTTGCCAGTTACCATCACGGGCAAAACAGACTCAATTTGGGGAAATTAGTTTAATTTATTACCAATCAAAATCAGAGTAGGATAATGAGAAGTAAATCCAAATCTTAAAAACACCTTCCCTGCACCCCTCCCCTTTTTCCTGGGTTTAACTTTACTCCTCCTCAGCGGGAGGACTCCTCACACTCTGCCCCTACTCCAGTGTGGGGTCCCTCCCACAGCAGACAGTCTTCCACCAACTTCTCCAACCTGAGTCCTTCTCTCGGGCTGCAGTTCTTCACAAATGGCTCCAGCGTAGGTCCCTTCCCTGGGGTGCAGCCCTTCAGGCATAGACAGCTCCAGCCTGGGTACCCCACAGGGTCACAAGCCCAGCCAGCAAATCTTTTCTGAAAGCACCTTCATTCTAGGAAACTTACAAAATTGATACAAAATGAGGTGGGGAACAGAACTTCATTAACACTGAATTTTTATGTACACTTGAACAGTCTCTATCTGGGGTAATGTATGCTGTTAATTCAATCTAGAGCAGTCACTGCAGAAAAGACTTAACTACAGAAGTCACTGGCTAAAGATTTCTTAATAGCAAGCCAGCAGAGGAATGCTGGAGTTTCTCGGTTTTCTTTGTAGTCCTCAAATGGTATATCTACTGGTGGTGGTTAGATTCTACAGTCAATTATATGGATTTGATAGCTGATGTCACTTGCCATATTGCAGACCTGAAGATTCTGCAGTTCAGACAGAGGTAATCTGCAATCTGTTGTTCTAATTGTAGAATAGGATCCAGGAAAGCCTGTCATCATGCAAGGTAGGAGAGAGCCGTCACTGTATTCTCATGGCGTAATTTCTGAGAGACATTGGATACTACAGTTTGTAGAGAATGTCTGCATAAACAGGGATGAAGTCTTCTGCTTATGTTGAGCTGGCCAAATGCAGCCTAGCTCCAGCATTTTTAAGACGTTCTATTAATATTAGTACTTCGGCAATACTTTGTTCCTATTCCAAAATATGATGATACAAGCTATCAGGGTTTTCATAAACTGTCATGTATTAAGTCATTAATCTTTTCTTAAACTTTTGTTGGTTTCTTTAAAAATCTAGTGCTCAGTAGAAAAACATTCTTTAATACCATTTGTCTATTAAGGTAAATTCTTCAGTAAAACGGAAAATTTCATGATAAATTATACAATATTCATGAAACTTTAAGAAATAATCTGGAATTATGAGCAGTTGTATCTACTGAAATGTCGTATGACACTTTATCATTTAAGAATTTGTTGTAAATAGAATATATTATACGGTTGGACTTGATGATCTTTGAGGTCTCTTCCAACCATAATGATTCTATGATAATGATTCGATATTGTCTGTTATAGTTTTAATAGATTTCAGCGAAAGCTGAGTGAAATAATTTTCAAGAGATAGTCAATAAAATGCTTTCAAATACTGTATCAAGGTGTCAGTAACTCTTGAATGTATTATATACAGCTAACCTGTGAAGTTACTGTTCTTCATAGTGGCTGCGTACAATAAAAGAAGAACTTCAAACCTTTTAGCAATTTTTTTTGTGCTAAAATAGCATGCCGTAACAGTTACCTTGCATATTTCTATAAAAATAAAAGCTAATCTTTACATATAACCTGAAGCTTGTTAGTACTTTGTGCATTATTGAGATGTTTCAGCATAGACCTTGACTCTTATCTAATAATTAATCATAGGAAGGATTGTAGAGGTGAGTATTTGTAAAGACCATGGAAAAGTGTAGTCATAACAAACTATTTAAAAATGGATAGAGAACACCAGAATTTTTAAGACGAAAGAAGTTTGTGTTCCGTTTTTTACCTCTTTTCCCTCATGTGTGGTTGTGATCTTTCTGATCTGTGCCTTGTGTAACACCAGCCTCAGCAACTGTTCATGGCCTTCCAGTCATCTCGTTGTGGGCACAGTTCATCACGAAGGAGGCTTTCTGTTTATTTCTCCATCAGCTTACCATCGTTCTCTTTCTGAGATCCTATGTGAAGCCTCATTGCTATTTTCATGCTTGCAAGAAACTGTCATCTATTAGTAGGTATACGCCTACGTCACTGTTGAAAGCCTATAAAAAGAAACAGCTATTTTAGAGTTGGCGCTCCTGTTTCCAAAATGGAAATAACTACTAATATAATTAATTAATAACTCCTCAAGTTAGCATGCCCGAATATTTCTTTTTTTTTTTTTCTTCCTTTTTTTCTGCTTTCAGAGATTGAAAGCAGCTTTGACCCAGCAGCACCCTCAGGTAACAAATGGAGATACTGCCAAGGGACATCCAAGTGGGTTGGTTAGGACTCAGTCAGAGGAACCACGACCACAATCACTACAACAACCTGCAACTTCAACGACTGAAACACCGGTATGACAACAGAGTGGACATGTACTTCCTACCCCCTTCTTTGTTATGCAAAAAAAAAAATAAATCTTTTTTCTTTACTCTTAATTTGTAAAATAAAGGTTAACATGTGCTACAGACTCCTCTTGGAGTCAATAGTTCTGTAGCAGTAAAATGTTTATAGTTCTTACATATTCTTAAATGCTTCTAAAATGTATTATCCAAGATGATAATGTCAAAATAGGTATTATCTATCTGCTCGAATTTAGAACTAAGTCCTCCTGATTTCTGGAGTTCATTAACAGGAAATTCTGTGGTAAACTGAAAATTGTACAGCTGGTTAACATATATTTGAAAAAACTAAATGTTTTTATTTTGTGTTTATATTATATCTGTTCAATATTTTATATCATAAACACTCTTCAGAAAATTTTTTAACTGCATCAGATATCATGCTCATGTTAATTTGCTTGAAGGATCTTTTCTGGGCTGCCACATGAAGTTTCAGCTGTGTACTGTGTCATCCCAGGTACTGAAAGGGGTCTCTCAGTTTAGGAATGGTATGCTGTCCCTTTGGGATGATAGATGAGAATAGGAGAATAAAGGGCAAGACCTCTGAGTCAGGCTGGAAGTGGGAGCACTGCTGGAGGAAAGAGATACTTCCTTGGGTGAATCCTAGAGAATTGCTGCTGTTCTACTTCAAAAAAACTTGTTGGAGTATGTTTTCAAAATGCTTTTAAAAAATCTCTTAAGAGTTAATTTCAGAATTTGTAGCATAATACCAATTTTATAAAAGCTACATACCTGACCCAGAAACAGAAGGACCTACATCTGCAGTGAAAGCACTCAGATTCTTAGCCCAGCCAGTGAAATCAAATAATATATCAAAGCAAGTATGTTTGGAGCAAAAAGAGGAAAAAGATTACCCATCATTAAATGATCTCCTTCTTAAGGCTGCTGTTCTCCCATACTACCTCAAGTCTTTTAAAATAATATTTTCATATTATCACATAGCAGAATTTTTAATGTGAAAAGCTTGCTGTTTGGTTATTTTGTGATTACTTTATAATTAGTATTTAAAAAAAATATTTTCAAGTATTTCATTCCTAAAAGGCTGATTTGAGTTCCCAGGGTTTTTGTGTTATTAGCTATCTAGAATTTATGCCAAATCGATATGCCAACTGATACACATTTGAGGTTTTTAATTTAAAACCAAAACTTTCTTGCTGTGCTAGACTGAATGTGCAGGTGTACCTGTGAATATGTTGTGTAGACAGTTGTGTTCTCTCTATCCTGTCACTTTAGAGGATTTTAAGATCCATTATGTTGTTACCATAATTTGTTAAATGTTTGCCTAGGGTCTGTATACAGCTATGAAAGGAATAAAACGTGTAATTTAAAATACTAAAATATTTTGATCCTGTCATAATATGTGGGTGGATATAAGGGAAATTGGTACACAGTGATGGGGAACACATCAACAAGTAGGAAATTGCTGTCTGGAGATCCTGCATTTGTCAAACAGCTTCTATATATTGGGTATAAACAATTGCGTAGTATTTCAGTTGTGATTAGGTTTGTGGGAAGAGTATTTGGGGAAGGGTCAAAAGTAGAAAATTTATTTCCTGCTAAATGTAACTTTTAAAAGCTATTTTGGGTGGAAGAGTTTTTTTAAGTTTACTTTTTGTAAATACTTGTGTCATCAGGATTGGTAAAAGAATGTCTGAGAGTCCATGTAAGGGAATATTGCTTCCAGGCTTTATTCAGTTGCCAAATGTAAACGTCATATAAATTTAACTCTGTGAAGTGAGTGGCTTCTTTTAGTGCAATTTTAAATCAAAGCTAGAGCCGTGATTAAATTGGTACATGTTAATGTAATGTGGTAAGGAGTGTAACTACAGTAAAAGTTTTTCAAACGTAGCTGTAGAGTTAAATGACAGCTTTCCTTGAAAGAAATGTGTATAACCTGAACATAATTTACGAATGTTGTGAATGCTTTTCTCAAGGTGTTATGTGTATTTATACTAGTGCTGTAGGTTAAGTCATGAATAGTAGTATACTGATAACTTCTTTAATACTTTTTACTGTTTTCAGGCATCACCAGCTCAGCCTACACCACAAACACCAAATACAGGTGGTCGGCGAAGAAGAGCTGCCAATGAAGACCCTGATGAGAAAAGAAGAAAGTTTCTGGAACGAAACCGGGCTGCTGCTTCCAGATGCCGACAGAAACGGAAAGTCTGGGTGCAGTCATTGGAGAAAAAAGCCGAGGACCTGAGCTCGCTAAATGGCCAGTTACAGGTATACTTTTTACTTCAAGTAAAAATGAGTGAGTTTTTCCATTCTTAGACAGTGGTCTTGGATCAATGGAACTTGAACTTTGCATGAAATCTGAAATATAAATGGTTTTGTAACTGGTGGCTCAGGTCAGAATTGAACATTTGGCACTAATTGCATGTAGCAGTAAAATAAGAATGTAAGAGAATACTCAGGTTTCAAGATGGGTAAACTTTAGGATCATACCCTTTTGTCCTTTGTTCCATTTTAAATAACTTTCAGGCTGTGATACTAAACAAGGATGACAAGATGTGTTGGAGTAAAGGCTTATTAGCAAAGTAATAGTCTTACCTTAAAAACATCTTGCTCTTAATAATTTTTATCACAGCCTGAGTTATTTAAATAAGATTTGGTTTTATTTCCTTTGGTTCTTTTTAACTTCACTTTTTTTCCTTTGAAGTGAATGTAGTGCTCGTGAAAGGTGGCAGATTGACATCACTGGAAACTGAAGGTCTCTTTTTGTCCACAGAACAGGTACAGCACAGGCAGTGGCAGTGCAAATTTCACCACACTGACCTCCCAAGTGTGCGTAAATCCTATAGTGAGGGAAGTGTACTGTAAGAGGGTAGTCTAGTGTATGTTGCGAGTCATTTTTCCACCTCATCTGAGGTTGTCAATCTTGGAAACTTGTCACGGGGACACGCTTTTCCCCCTTTGGAACAATCCATGACCCTTTTGTTTAAACTACAATTAAATGTTACAGCATACTTTCTTAATGTTTTCCAGCAGCACGTGAGAATTGGCACAAAGTATTGTTTCAAAATAAAAAGTCTAAAAGCTTTATTTTGAAAATTACAGAAAGGAAAAATGTTATCATTTCCTAAATGAAGCATTCGTTTAGAAAATGCAATGGAAAGGGTTTTCATATGTTAAAGTTTCACTTCTTACCCTTTCATCAGAGCTGTTCACTGAGTCAAATTCACAGATCTTTTCCTTCCTATTAAAACTCTTCTTTCATGCAGTTTGATAAAGAAAATGTCCCAGTTTGACCAACAGGAAAGTAGGACATGTTGAGATGACTTTTTATCATGTAATTGAAATTACAGCGTATCAGTTGTCTTCATGTCTTTAAAAATACTCAGCATCCCAGACTGTAAAATGTAAGAAATTCCTACCTAAGCACACAACGTGAATCGTTTCCTGTGTTCCAAGAATCATGACACTGTGCACCAGCATTAGTTAAATTTCTTGTATAGTCTTCTCATACTTGTTCACAGTCTTTAGACATGTTCCTTTAATGCAGTCACAGTCCTCACTGTAAATCCATTAATTACAAAACGGTATGTAACACTATAGCTTAAATAATCTAAGAAAGAATTGAAGGTAGATCTACATGAAGAAAAACAAAGAACAAAAAAGATTGGCTATATTTCAGTTTGTTTAGTGAAAGTAATTATTGGTATTATGTGAACTGCCTTTAACTTACACTATTTTTGGTTATAAAAATTGGTATGTATAAGTACTATAACCAAAAGATTTCCAGATTTCCAAGAGTTAACTCAGTAGCAGTGGATTCAGGAAAAAATTTCTTTCAGTCTGCCAAAAGCAAAACCGTTAACTGTGAAGAACAGAATGACTTGTAAAGAAAATTGAATGTCAGAGAAATAATTAAACTGTACTTTATGTGAAAACATTAATCAATCGTATATTTCCATAATAATTCTTCACTTGACAGGCTAACACAGCTGATCAGCATAGTGGGCAGTAATGACCCATGTTTACTTGCTTTATACTTAATAGTAAATTTAATAAGTTTGGAGTTTTGCCTGAGTACAGTTTTATAGACTGAGTGTTAGGGTTTAGTAGTTCATATTTTGTATAATATCTAAATGACCTGCTCAGCTGAATTTACTGAGAAACCACATTTCCAAAAGCAGGTTAATACCAAAATGACTACATTGTTTTGCTTCACGTAACAATTCTGACTTCTTTCAACACATTTAGTAGCTTTCTCATAATGTCTGTGTCAAAGCTTCTAATGTCAACATCAAGGTTTTTAAGACTGGAAGCTCTCGTAACAGTACATAGAGATTTTCAAGAGGTTTACTCGGTTGATGTGTATGTTTTGTTCTGTAGTGTTCAGCTTTCTGTAGATTAACTTATGACTACTTTCTTATTTTAAATATTTGAATTCAATTTCCTTTTTAAGCATTATTTTTCAAATTTTTGCTTAAGGGAAAATTTCCATCTATTACATCATGCTAGCAACATATTTAGGTTAGGTTGGCTGTCTTTATTACAGGCTCTGCTGCGTAAGTTTTTTTCATGCTTCCCACTTTTTAAAGTTTATTTACTGTTTACTTTTTGTGGACTGTGTTTTCTAGTAATGTTTATCGATCTTGCATTTTATATACCACATTGTGTTGCCTCTGTGCCTTACATAATATTGCAGGGTATGGTGTGCTATATAACATGTTAGCAAAGTATTGACAGAGTGTCCCCAGTGGCCGCTCAATCATATCGCAAGATCAGATGCCAAAGTTCATTATATGGTCTGTATGTGGTCCCTGTTGCTTTAATAATCTTCATGGGCAACGTATTAGTAGAAGAATGGCCTATCTTCCTCACGAGGTCATTGTAGGTTTTAAAGGATCAGCAGTAAAGTGGTGGCTTGTACTAATGCTGCAGAAGCTGCTTTAGGAAGGCTAAATTATGAGAGAAATGCCCATAAGTAAAGGTCCTTTTCTATATAGAGGTATCTTCTTGTAGTTGTCCAAAAAGAAACAGGATTAAGTCAACCACAGGTAATACCCTATCCCCATAAGTCACATCTGCCTGTCTCTAATGATAGTTTTGGTTAATATACCTCACATATATTGTCCCATACCTTGCTGAGTAAGTGTTAGTCTGGTCCCACTGTTACATACACGTTTTGGATCCAGGGTGAAATAGGCAGATACAGAAGAACATACTATACACTGCATGGTATACCTTCGTAAGAATACAGAAGGGAAAGTATCTTTTGAAAAATGGAGAGCAGATAAAAATATATATGCTTTCCTCCAGAAACCTGCTTTCTAATGTTGGCACATTTTGAAATGTGGGAACATAAAAATTCTTCTAGACAGCATATGAGGTATATTTCATGCCTATTTAAAGAAATGTTGATGCCTACACTTGACTTGATACCTCATTAATGAGGAGGACCTTTCCAGTGTGAAAACTCAAGATAATATTTCTTCTTGCCAACTGTTGAAGTGTTTATTTCATGTGTTTCTTGTTAGCCAGTTTTCAACATGTTAACCACATGTTAAATGACTATCACATGTTAACATGTTTTGAATGAGATGGAAAGACTTGCTGTTGTCACATACGTGGTAAGAAACTGCTATGTGTATAGGAGCTGGTTCTAACAACCCCCCTTTATTACCAATTAGAAGTTGTTCTTAATGGTAATATGTAAATGACAACCATGGATTGCCTTTCTGTGACATTCCATGTACCATGTGTCTAGCAGATATATTCTGTTCTACTTCCAGGAATGATTTATGCTTTGCATATAGCACTGTTGGCACACAGTGTTTGTGTTAATAACAATGCTAGCTATGTATTCAATGAGAATACCTCAACTGTTTTTTTTATTATAGGAATGCTGTTCCATTTTTTTTTTTTCGAATTTGCTTTAATGTAAGATAATATATTTGCTTTTTTCTATTTCTGTTACCAAAATTCTTACTATTTATAATACAACTGACATTATAAACTGCTTTTTCAAAATTTTTTCATAAACATTAGTTTTACTGATAGTGATAAACAGCGACTTCATACCTATATGTGCTGTTTGTGTATAAAATTATTCCTTAAAATGTGGGAGATGAAGGTTAACAATTTCTGAAAACCTTTTCCCGATTTGATCTTTATTTTACCATTGTTCCTTTAAAGTAACAGAAGTATGTTTCGTATTATTGGACATTGCTGCTTCTGTAGATTATCAAGAAGTGTCTCAAAACTACATCAGCACTTTTTTTTTTTTCCCCCAGCTATGTCAATTCTGTGCAGCTGCCTGCTTGGCATCCAGATTTGTGGCTCCTCAATAAATAACATGGTGAACTAAGAGCAGACTGAGAGCTGGAGGCAGAATTAGTGTGCTTTCCTAACAGCCCAAGATTTCAGGACATGTAATGCCAGCTAGTAGAGAATTTTGGGGGTTTTTGGTTGGTTTTTTTTCACTACAACCTTTTTTGTTTGCAATCATGTTTTTCTTTCATTAGAAATGTCTGCGAAGTCAGATTTTTGGCTTGCTTTCAGCTCTTGCTTTTGTTTTAAATATAAATTTTCTAAAAGAGGTGTTTGACACAATAAAATGACTGAATAGAAAAGTAGTCCTTAATAGTTTAAGAGGATTTTGCAAGTGTAAAGGCTTGAAATTTTTTGTCTTCTAAATGGAGAGAGAGGACACAAAGAGGAGCTTTTCTTTTAAAAATCTGGTATTTTAGTTACAGTATTTATAAACTGTGTTAGTGTAATTAAATCTAATAAATTCTGTTCTTAAAAATTGTTTTCTTTACTTTGGAATCCTTTCAGTTGTAATTCATCTCTTCTCTGCCTGCATTGCCTTATTTCTAGCTTGCAAGTAATGGTTGACTTTCTTGTGGTTTACTTTTTCCAAATAATTTTGGTTGCAATCCAATTTTTCTGTGTTTGTCTTGTCTTTAACTTGCTCCTAAATATGTAGATCTATGCATTTACCAGTTATGTCACGTGTGTGGTATGTTATGCTAATGTGCAAAGGTTCTTGTAGTTTAAGCACCTTCAAGTATCAATGGAAAGGATTTATATTTAAAATAAAATAACCCATGAAAAGCATATACTGTGACAAGATATGGGGATCACAAAGCATTACAGATAACTTGATTCTGTAGACACATAAACATTTTTCTAGTATTTAAAGTGAAACCGAGTCTATCAAAATGCCATACCATTCTTAATTTGGATTGTGACATATGCAGTTATGTAGTGCTTCTCATCTCTAGATACCAAACTGCTTTACAGGGAAGGTAAGTATCACTGTCCTCCTTTTTACAAATGAGGAAATTGGAGCACAAAGAGCTAAAATGACCTTGCTCAAGGTCACCAAATAGCAGAAAGACATAGCCTGGAAGTGAACCCAGTCACTAGATTCTGCAGGTGCTTTCTCCTAGATTACAGTCCGCTTTAGTGACATAAGCTGACATTTCAGGATTTTGTTATTATTATCAATGATTCCTTCATACAACACGTTTATGTATGGTTGCCAAAGAGAAAATTAATGTGGAAGTCAACAAAGATTTACTAAATTATTTTCTGGTACTTGAGATTTTCTAAGTCCAAGTACAAATATAGTCACCAAATATCATTCTGCATTGCCTGTTTTGGGGGGTTTTTTGAACCTTTTTTAATGTTGTCTGTGGTATCTGTTAAAATGTGGGTGGTTAAATGTAGGTTTACTCTGTTTAGAATTCATCACAAAACCTTGCAGAAGAGTCTTACAGTAGCTGGATCATGTAAATGAGACTATATGTAGACTGCAAACAGAAAAACATATGCTGTATTTTCCAAAAAAGCATTTCGTAGTTTAAGAAAATAATGAAATAAAGTTAGCCAAGTTTCAGCTAATATTTATGTATTCTGAGATAAAAGAAATGTATACATTTTTGCAATATATACCAAATGGAAACTTCTTGTCGTTTACCTACCCTGAAATGAACAACTGAAAATCCTATAAAACTTAATACTTACCTTCAAAATGTGTGTAGTTTGAGCCTGGTAAAGTACATAACTTTCTTCTCCTTTAGAATGAAGTCACCCTGCTGAGAAATGAAGTGGCACAGCTGAAACAGCTTCTTCTGGCTCATAAAGATTGCCCTGTAACCGCCATGCAGAAGAAATCTGGCTATCATAGTGAGTAATGTTCCATTACCTATAGCCTTAGGCTGCATCAATGAAATACTGCCAAAGTGAACTGAATGAACATTAAAATTGAGAAGTGCAATTCTAATATTACATTAAAGATTTTTTTAAAAAAAAAAAAAGCTCGAAGGTTATTGGAAGACAGAAGTGAATATGTGATATTTAGAAATATATTTTTAAGTCCTTTCAGTTGAAGTGCTGCATAACATTGAAGGTTTTATGTTGGTTTAATAAATGCATATGATAATTAGCATTTAAGGACTATCGGTTACTACACCTGCTTTGGAAAATATAATTAAAGTATTAAGAGCACATGATAAACCATTTTTTATACTTTATCTTAGCCTAGTACAGTGAAAGGTCCTTGTGGGTTTTTTTCTTCATCATAATGAGATTTCAGTAGAGGTAGTATAACAGCTGTCCTCATTTACCATAACATCGAGGATCAGTCAAGCTGTTAAAATAATCAGATGCAGGTTCATGGCTCCTACTGTACAATATCTTCTAGATTGTTTTGATTTCCACATGAAGCGACTACGTTCCTATGAACAGGGTATTTTAGAAAGCAGTCCTACTACTGAAGGGAATACTAAGAGTTTCAGTAGCATTTTTTTTTTCTAATACGTATTTTTGCTTAAAGTTACTCGTTTGATTTTTTTTATCCTTCCAGCATTTTAAAGGTTAATTATACTTTCCTGACTTGTAACTTCCTTTTTGGATATCATACACAGTGCCAGAACCAGCTGCTGCTGCTGTAGAATAAATGGCCAATTTTGTCCATTGTACACAAATTTGTTACAAATAACTGAGCTGGGAATGCATTAGGCAACATTCATAATATATAACCCACAGCTTTCGTTTTTATGATTTAGTGATATTTCAGGATATTTGTAAATGTGAAGATTGTTTCTGCCATATGTAGCCACTTCATTTTAATTTGCCAGTGTCAGTAATTCAGGAGAATAAAGGAACGTTTTGTATTGCATGCAAACAGATCCTCAGGTGCTTGCGATAAAACTTAATGGCCACCATCTTTACTTGTAGTCATTGTAAGCAATTTCATCAGAATGGGCAATATTTTTTAATTTAAAAGATTCAGGAGATTTAGCAACTCTCTATGGCCATACATATTTAGAATACTGATTTTGTCAGTTTTGAGCTTATAAATCTTGGTCCTTTGATCTCCAGTCATTTTGACAAGATGGAAAGTAGCATCTTGGAGTAAATTGGAACAGTATAGAAATATGTTTGGGATTTATATTAACAATGATTGCTGCAGGGATGAGGCCATTATGGCTCCCATCTGACAGAACAACGTATTTTCATACAGAAGCTACAAGGGGATAACATTATGCGTGCAAGGTTTCAAAAAAAAACAGAACAGCCAAACTGTAGTTTTCTTGAGTTTTGTTGTTTTGAGGATGCATGTTCCTGAATTGGCATGAAAAATATTTAAACATAAGTCTTAAACTGGCAAAACTAATTATGTGCTAAGAATTTCTTTGTTGAAGAATTAATGAATGACCTGTTTGGTAATGCCTATTTTCTGCCCTCAGAAAAGGTTTATAATGTTCCTAGTTTACTAAAGAATGCAAAATGAATAAGAACTAAAATACTAATCAGTGGAAAAAGCCTACATTCTAGAAAAAAAAAATCAAGCAAGAAGATTGGAAGCATAGCTCGCCTAGTTTCTTGAAAAGTACCTTGAAAGTAAAAGTTCAGCATGAATGATAGTTGTAATGCCATCCCTCTGAAAGATTTTGTTGTATTATCTCCATGTGGATATTGTTAGGAAAGCATGTTAGCTAAGTGACATACCCACAGTACAATTTATGAGAGGAAAAAATGGTTTCAGTTAATATGTTTATGAAAATGGTGTTCATAGGAAGTATTTTTTAAATAAACATATTATGTTCATCAAGTAATGTAAGTTGAATTGCTTCAAAAATGTATTGAGTGGTTTAAGTGTCTGTCTCTGTGGAAGAAATTGAAGACACCAGCTTACAGAGCTCCTGCAGCGCTGAATATTGTCCACTGCTGAGGCAGTGCTAGTTTATACCACACAGACCGTGTTTTAACAGCGAAGTCCACAACTTGATGGGTTTTCATGTATTATGCACTTAAATTGGCACAAATAATCTATTGCTTTTCAGGGAATTTTTGGCACTTACTTTTACATATCTTTTAAGATCTTTTAGATTTCCCAGGCACATTTTTGTCTTGGGCCAAGTGAAAAGCATGACAGTGCAGATACCCCTTTCTTCTTCGAAGATTGTTGTTTCGGTCATATTTCCTGATTTAAAAAGTCTTCTGCCTGCTTCAAAAGAGGGTGTCATCGGGACAGAGAAACCAGAAAAATGGTTATTGCACTTGTAGGCAGTATGGATGAATTTCTGTTGCAATGTTTGAGTTTTCAGCCAGTTTAAAATTTTTATTTCCCAAAGAAGGATGCTTTTGGTTCTGAATGCATCTAAACAGGGGGGGGGTGTGGGGTGTTGAAAAGCCATGTGTAGGAGAAATCTAAATGCTGTTCATTTATTTTTCATTTTAGCTCTTCTATGCCAGATTATTTCTAAAAGTCTTCTGCAATACTCCTGTATTTTCTCAGGCTTTTTCTGGACTTGGAGCAGGAAAAAGGTGAAAATTTGTGAGAAGAAAATGTGTTGTGAAAATTAGAGTTGTTAAAAAAAAAAAAAAAAAAGGATGTTTTAGATATTTTTTTCATATTTTTCAAAAGGACATCATAATGTTCAAGAACATTTGTGTGAAACTCAATCTAAAGGAAGATAAATAGAGGCTGCAGTGTAGGTGGTGTTAAATGGGATCTTTTACTGTTCTTTCTCTAGTTAGTTTTAAAGAAATGGTAGAAGGTGACTAACCAGTTTCAGACCTTGGATAATTTGAACCACTCAAACCACCATGTTCATACAGCCTGTTCTGGACAGGCGACAACCCTTCAGTGACTACAGGGGATATTCAAAGGCCAGCTCACTGAAAATGGGCATTTTGAGACTTGAGTCCCTCTATAGTGCTTGGATGGCCTGATGAGAATTACCGTGAGGCTTCCTTTCTAGTGATTATCAAGTGACTGAAAGTAGTTCTGGATCACGTCAGTGCTTGCATACTCGCTCCCATTTTGGTTTTAGTGGGGCTTTTTCTTCTGTAGTCTGAAAACTCTTTGTTTTCCTACCTTACTGAAAGGTATTGGTAAGCAATGCTAAGAAGCAGATAGTGGCAATGTTTGACTACTCTGAAAGGGTACTTTTTAGTACATCCTCCAAAGTCTCCTCTGTGCTTTGTTTGGTATTTTTAAAATCTTTTCTATAGCTCAATCTAGCCCCTGTTGCGTTCCATTACCAAAATGGCTCGCTCCTTGTGACACAGCCTGTCTAGGAACTATGTAGGCTTCAGGAAAGTTCATGTGATGTAGATCTGTAAATTTTCAGCCTTCTAATGTACAGCACACATTACTTCTTTAGATTAATTTCTAGTTTGGACCATGTGTTTTTCTTGGTTTGCGGCAAAGCTGGGGGAGCCATTAAAAAGCTAAGATGCCTAGGCTTTTTTTCCACATTCTTAGCTACATTATGATTCTGGTATGTATCAGTTGCACGCTTGAAACCACAGTCCTGTGCCTGTGAATTCTCTGGTCAACTAAGAAAAAAGAAAAAAAAATCTGTCAAAATTTAAATAAGACTTTCCTGTGTTCTTCTAAAAGCTTTTGTTCTTTATTCCCAATCTTCAGGCTTAAGAAAACAAGTCACCTTTGTAATGAGGTGACTTTAAGTATCTTCTGTATTCATTGAGTAGATTTTCTTATTTGGTTTTCATTCTTCACATGGACTTCTGTATTCAGTTTTGGACCGCTATTCCTGTAAAGTTAGGGCTACATAAGGAAGGATATTGAAGGAAATCTAATTAGCTATTCGTTAGGGTGGCATCTCATTTCTAAATATTACTGTGTATTTATTGGAAGGATTTATGCTTCCAGTCAAATGTATTACCATAAACTAGTGTTGGATCTGTATCTTATATAATCACCTGCCTGCTATAAGCTCCCCGCCCCTGGCATCTGAAAATACCTGAATCATCTGCTTTTGTCTCTTCGCCCAGTTAATGTTTGTTCATCTGCTCAATGATATGAAAACTTCTATTGTACATTGGTGATCATAGTATTCTCATAACTGTTTCTTCCATTGCATATGAGGTCTTCCTGAGCCCATCAAAGTCAGAAAATCAAGCCTTTCTCATGTTCTTTACCACCGTGATACTGTTGCAGACATTTCTTTTGAGTTAAATTAACAACGTGTATGTTAAGGGATACAGAAGAATGGAAGACCTTCCTTCTCTGGCTGGAAGATAATGATCTACTTTACTACTTCTCTCTCTCTGGCTTGTAGCATTTAAAACTAACCCTTTTTATTGAGGATAAGGTAGATTTGGCCAACAAGGAAATCAGGGATCAGCAAAAGAAACATAGTAGGAAGATAGAGATTCATAGGAGAATAACAACAGCTCTGAAGAGGAGGAGCAGGTGTTAGAGTTGGGAGACTGTATTTGATACACATCGTCCCACTTGCTGCCATTTCATTCTGTCTGAGGGGAAGAATATGCTATTCTCATAATGAGTAATGCAGTATTTTTCAGGAAGTGGCACTAGAGTTTCTGTTTTTAACAAAGTTTGCATGCGTTTCTTCTTACTTGTTTTTACATGAGATCTTGTAGGTCTTGATAAAGGTGTAGCAAAGATGAAATCCTATTGAATAGTGTTAACTGAATTGGCAGTCGTTCAAGTTCTTTCTGCTCTTGAATGGGCAAATCCTGCTAAGGATCACAAAGATCTTTCAGAAGTATTTTAATTTTCTTTCTCTTGCTGTATGCAGTTACCATGTAACTGTAGGATATGTGGTAATTGTCAGCAGACCTCGCTCAGTATAATCTGTCTCTATCTCCTTTAACGCTTGAAAGATCTGTTTTTGAAAAAATGCAGTATCTGTAAAATAGTTGGCCTCGTGGATGGATGAGAACATCCTGATACTTTCAAACAATTATGTCCATACTCTTGTAGTAGAGGTATAAGAGAAATTGCTACCTTGTTCATGTAGGCAGTATTTCTTAGAAAGAAATACAGCAGTTTTGCTTGCTTACCAATCCTATTTGACTTTACCGTTCTTTTCCAGAAACAGTCGACAATAGACTTGTTTTCAGGCTTTGAAGAGGAGTGTGTTCTTAGTATGCATGAGGTTGCTTGAAGATCTTTATATTGGGGACTTGAATTGCTAATTTAGTGAATTTTCTTGCCCATAGCTAGTATGTCGTATAAACCTCAGTACACCATAAACTTCATTTCATCATTGTTTGTTCATGCTTAGTGTTCCTTTTAGTTGCTGCTATTAGCCTGGTTTTCTATGGAAACGAGGCTATGATACCACAGAGTTGTTCATCTTTTAGTATTGGTGTCATCCTTTCCCATTTCTTCTCTTCCCTTTCTTCTAGAGAAGATCCAGCTTTGTTCCGTTGCTATGTCACAAGCAATAGTTCATGCTTCTTCCAGCTGTGTTTGGGTGTATCTGTCTGCATTGTTATGTTATACAATAATCACTATAGCATTTTGAAAGGCACTTCTCGTATTCCATCCGTATACTGAGTTTAAGTCAGCGTATAAAACTATTGTGAAAAATACTTGAAAACAGTAAGTAGCACAAAGTGATACAAAAACGTTATAATTCAAATTGGTGTTCATACTTTTAATTTTGAGTGAGAAACAGTAGGCTTATTTTCTTTTATGGTGTTTGTCTTTAACTCAGCTTTTTGCTTAATACCTTAGCTAACTTTTGCAACTCTGGAAAAGAAGGATGATTTTAGCATGACTAGGATGTCTGTGCAAGCAAAACATTTTAAATGATGCTCATTTTACAAATTCTAGTTTTGCACAATGAGAATTATTTTTTAATCTGTTTACCCTCTCTCATGAGAAAAAAAAAGATGCAACTGTGTGGCTAAGTCACTTCAGTTTTGTGGAGAACACCTGAAGTATTCTTGAAGATATTTTTAAAATCAATTTTAACAATTTTAGATTTTATTGAGGGGCATTTGTATACTAAAGAAGTTACTGAACTTCACTCTGTTAAAAGAATGTGGGTTGAAAACTTGTGGAAGTATTGTCCAATTAATATAGTGGTGTAAATAATATTTTTTCAGATATCATATCCATGTTTACAAGTATTAATTACTGAATGTAGAATTATCCACATTTGATTACTAAGCAAATGCAGTAAATAGCATATGTTAAAAACCTAGCCAGTTCATATAGCACCAAATGATCTGGTAGCATTTTTAATCTATAAATATTCCTTATTGACATGAGCATTCAATTAGAATTAGGTATGATACCCACCAGCTGATTTACTAGGCAGGAAACTGGACAATTTTAATCATGACTTTGAAGATGTGAAAATGTTCTTATCTCCTGAATATTCCGTACTGCAGTCCGTATTTTTTGCTTACAAAGTAGTATTTTCTTTATAAAATGAAAATAAGATTGTTTTGCAATTTCTGCTGTGTTACACCATGAATTTGATTGCTGTTACCTGGGACGTGGTGGTATGCATTCTGGGGAGAAGAAAACTTTTTTTTTTTTTCCTTCTTCAGCTGCAGATAAAGATGACAGTTCAGAAGACATATCAGTGCCAAGCAGTCCACACACGGAAGCTATTCAGCACAGTTCTGTCAGCACGTCCAACGGCGTAAGCTCAACTTCCAAGGCAGAAGCAGTGGCCACCTCCGTTCTCACCCAGATGGCGGACCAAAGCACGGAGCCGGTGCTTTCCCAGATCGTCATGGCACCTCCCTCCCAGTCGCAGCCTTCAGGAAGTTGATTAAAAACTTGCATTGCATCAGTTTCTTAGATACACATTTGTGACTTTAAAGGGAAATCAACAAAAGACCAGTCTCCATCTAGGAGAAATTGTAGCTTAAAATTATTAATTTTTAAAAATCCGACTTAAATTTGGCTTTAACGATTGGCAGGTGAAGATGAGACAGAACACCAGTTCTAGTCTCTTTGCAAAAGACTTTTTTTTTTAAGTATTAGTTTTACTAGTTATTTTTTGTGCTTAATGTGTAAAGTGTGTGTACAGTACAATGTGGTTTATTTCATTTGGTATTATTTCAGCAAACATTGGGGTGAGTTACTAAAGGTCATCCCCAAGACTGTGATAGTAATATTATGTGACATTTTTATACCAAAGTTCTGCATAGTCCCTATTGACTTTGTAATGTTAGCAAGGTCATAAAGCACTAGGCAAGAGAAAGACAGTAACAGTAAATTTGCTTTTAGTCTTTTTGCCTTTTTGTTGTTTTGCACATTATGAGAGGAAGAACATTGGGAGAAAAACGTTTGGGTTGTTTTATGTATAGCTTTTTGGTTGGCTTTTTAACTATTGGGGTTTTTAATTTGTTTAATAGGGCCAGTACAGTATATGAGATACAGTACTCTTATGCACATACCTATCCTAGATAAGGATCATTACTAAATAGACTTGGGGTGGTTTTTTTAATTTTAAATTTACATCAGGTGTTTTTTTTTCCCCTCCAATACTTTTATTCTGGGGGGAGGAGAGCTTTATTTCTCCAGTCAGAGTAGATACCTATAACTACCCTTTGTTGCTAGGCTGAAAACAGTAAGCGTATTGTAAAATACAGGGTTATTGAATATGGAATACTTAGTATTCCAAAGTAGGTTGATATTTTGTGGATTTTTGAGTCGCAGACTAAGGAGTTTACTCATGGTTTTGGATGCCAGAAAAGCCTAAAATCCTTCTTCAGACAACTCAAGACTTTTTTTTGTCATTGTCTTGTATTTGCAAGCTAACTTGTACTTAATTCTTGTGTAAGCACTGTCATCTTTTAGTAGCAAAAATTTTGATACCTTTCTTGTGGAAAAAAAAAAAATCAGTATCTACCGTATCTTGGAAACAATGTAATTATAATGTGGTGTGTGTGGTGTGTGCGTGAGAATGGTTCAGTAGTTAATGCCAGCAGTCTTTTGCTTGAATGTTTAAAGATGCCTTCAATGTGATGCTGGCTGATAGGTGATTGCAGTTTTAAAATGTTATTTACTGTGCGAACTTGGATAACTAACATTCCATGATGTAGTTTGTTTCTGATGAGATGATTGTAGGTACACTTTTTCTCATTATCCAGTCATCTGTAGGATACTGAGTTTTTTAAATGTGCCATTATCTATTTTGATTCTGTACTCATGTTCAAAATACAGTACAATATTTTACAATAGATTAAGTTGTTTAAAAAAAGTAGATGTGTGCTTTCAGGTCGGAAAACTTTGTATAATAGCAAAAACAGATGCATAGTAGCAACTGGCAGTAAAGCAGGATTCCATTATGTATATAACAAAGATTTAATGCATTTATAATGGGTTGTGTAGTTCATTTGTTCTTCCTTCTCCACACTATACTATGTATTTTTAAGTGTCCGTGCCATCAAGTTTCTATTTGATTCAGTTTTAAATCTTAAAATGTAATTGATTCACAGGAAAATAATAATTTCTACAATATATATACAACCATGCTATAATGAAAACTGGACAAAGAAGTATCTACGTCATATATGTATCATTGCAGGGCTTTAAGCATGAAAATAATAGGGATTCTAAATATTTTGTATTTTAAAATTAAGAAAGTTGAGTTGCTAACCTCATGTGTTTAAAAGTCTTACTTTCCCAATTTCAAGATAAAAAGCTGTAACAGTTACTGAAAGTTTCCAGGATGGTGAAATGCAATGGACCTCTTGTGAGAAGGAAATTAATTGCAAAGGCACAAAATGTGAATTCTGCAAGAAAGCTATACAGTCACTTTTCATTGTAGTTTTGGTGGACTAGGTAAGGCCTCATTGATTATACTATAATTTGCTCTCCTAGACACAAAGGCTTTTAAATCATATTTATATAAGTGGAGGTTTTTTATAACAAAACTGTCGCGCTTGTAAAATAAGTCTACATAAGTGTATAGGAGACGTGTAAACAGTTAATGAATTTAACAGTGGGGCTGGAAAAAGAACCATTAAAATCTGTGTTCAGCAAATAGAGAAAAGTTATTAGTTGTACTACCATGGATTCCGTTTTGAGACGTATGTCACACTACTTCTGTACTTAGCATTTTGGGTCTTTACATTTGACATGTTTCACAAACTGTACTGTTTTCTTTTATGTGCAGTTTGCATGAGTAAATCATCAAAGAGAATAAAATCTATCTTTAAGTTATGGTCCTATTTTAATGAAATTATAATTGTTCTAAAAGGCAGCACTGTCTTCAGACTTATTTCTTCATCCTTGCAATTATCAGCATTTTTCTGGAAGTTACTACTATAATGTCAAAGTAATGGTAGGTAAACAAGAATGCATGTATTTCTTTGGAAAGTAAGCCAAATTCCATTGCTCTGCAGTTGAGCTCCAGCAGCTTCAGAGGAACAAGCTTTGCATCGTTAGTTCCAGGAACCCAAGGTAATCTGCAGATAAAGGAGTTCATACCCATTGCTTGGTGATCCCAGATGTTGCTCAGCCATTTCTGGTTGCCTTGAGTTCCACAGCAAAAGCGCTGTGTGTAATCAGAATTTCCAGTTAACTTCCAGATATCTTAATGTACACGAAGTCAGGGAATAACAGGTATAGTCACATGAACTGCTCACAGTTGTGTTTTGAAAGGTTGAGAAAAAAATCACGCCCTCATGCTTGTTTTTTAGAATATTAAAAATTATTTGGGCTTATTTATGGATGCTAAAAACATATATGGAGTGGCGCATTCTGTTATATCATCATTTGAAAAGCTCTTGACAGAACCCTGATACAGAGGCTTTCGAGGAAACCAAAAGGGCAAAGTTGCTGTGTACTTGCATTTACTGCACATGTTGAGCAAAGGAAATGAAAGTTAAACTGCACACAGCTTTGAGCCCAGTATAAGAATCATGCCCAAGGCCTCTGTTGCTTCATTATGTTCTTTTTCTGACTGTATGAGTTATGCTTGTCGCTCCAAGGAAAACATCACAAAGGCTGTGTAACAGGGCAAGTGGGGGGGGAACCAACCCACTTTTTAATGCCTGCACTGTGAAGAGGCTCGGATTTATACCTAACTATCCAATATGAGTAAGCTTTTTCTCTTTAAAATGGTAATAGAGGCTGGGCAAAGAAAGGCACTGCACTGATGGAAAGAGATGACAGAAGTGTTGGATGAGTGGTGATTTCAGCTACCAGAATTACAGAAGTAATTTGCTTAGAGACAGACACAAACATTTTAATTGGTCATCATAAATGATAATGAGGAGAAAACATAGTGAAATTAAGTGCATCCTAATAAAGTAAGGTATGTTAAATTGCACTGAAGGAAACTTCAGCAATGCTTCTTGACATGATTAATATACTCGAGACAATGTGTCTAATGAAGGTTGTTTGCATTTATATGCTGCCTGTTGCTTCCCTCAGTAGAGAAATAATTTGAACTACACTCATTTACATTGCAGAACAGTGAGTGTAAGATTGGCTTGCAGTCGTCTTTTACATTTATTTTTAACCATCATATCAACAGTAATACAGGTATGATGTATTTAAGCTGTGTCTTGTATAACACTGTGTAGGGTAGGTCCAGTGACACTATCATGAAATAATTTGGATTGTCAAAGTTTTCTATTCTTTAATAGTAAGTTTCCTGTCTTTTTAGGTTTTAATATGACTTGCC